CTAATTTTTTGAGGCTCCCCTCCCTCATGCCAGACACTGGCTGAGCATGTCATGAACATTGTATTTGATCCCCATTTTAAAAAATGCTAAGAGAATGGTGCTATTACCGTCTGCCTTTTACAGGTGAGAAAACAGCTTAAGTAACTCACCCAGAATAACACAGGTAGTGAGTGAAAGAGCCAGAAAAAGAATTCAGTGTGTCTCCAAGTCCAGGCTATTAAGCATCTCACACACCACGTTTCCAAAGTGATTTGCAAAAAGGACGAGGTGGGTGTCCATTTTCATACACTGGTATCTCACACAGTGTTATTTCAGAAATCGGCTATTTGATACAACATCTGCATGAACGTCATGGCTGTTGATTAATGATATGTCTCTCAATTAAATTTGTGCCTGAAATGAGCTTTGTGAGTTGAGGTTTTATAAGAGGCCAAGGCGAAGGGAACCCCCGGGCTGTCCTCTGTGATGCTTAATTTCTGCCCAGGCCCGCTGGCAGGACAGCCATGAAGGGGTTGGTTTGATGATGATTACACTAAAGACAGTTCAGCATCTGTGACCAGAGTGGTTGCTTCTGGGGTGCAGTTTGGGACACTGATTCCCTGGACGCAAAGGATACATGCAGGTGTCCATTACTAAGGGAATCAGCTAGAGAAAAAACTGCCTCCTTTAGGTACGGAAGGTAAATCTTCAGGCAAGGATTAGAAAAAGGAAATGTAGAAATGTGGCCTGTAATTACCATTAAGTATGTGTTAGCAGTCGTACTTATTAATATGGGTTTGAGGGCCCAGTGATGAATGCCAAATTTATACCATTTTTTTTAGTTCAACAAAAAATTCCAGCACATAAAATACCAATGACATCCTGTAAAGCAATTTAAAAAGGGGTAAGAAATGTCTATCAAAGGAATTTCAGAATGAGCTGCTGAACTTATAAAATAAATATATTTAAGCACCCATCATACGTGTGTGTGTGTGTGTGTGTGTATGTATGTATGTGTGTGTATAGGATAAAGTGTTTGCTTTATCCTAGAGAATGTTTAAGGGCACAAATAGCCCATGAACAAAACCCTGTAGCATTTCTTATTTGATTGAAGCAAATAATTGTAGCCTTTATTGGAGAGTTTCTGCCTAAATCTTAGAAGCTGGGCCTCAGAGATATGATAAGATCTTCCGTGTCATGTAAAACTTCACCGTGTCCCTAAAGTGACAGTATCAACAATTGTAAGGCTCCGCAAACACTAGTTTTGGCTTCTGCCTTTTATTTTATTTTTCCCCCTCTCTTAGCTCCACCCAGCCAGCTCTTGAAAGGCCTTCTGTTCTGTCAGCCATAATGACATCTGCTGGCGGAGACAGGAAGTCATAAATCTGTAGGTCCCCTCTCAACCAAACCTTGTTAATGCTGCCATTTATCACAGGGGCTGGGGTGCCATCTCTGGAGGGCTGGACGCAGGGAGTCCATTTTCTCCCATACCCCTTCCCCAGAGAGCAACCATTTTACAAACAGCCACTTTTTCATCTCGCATTTGCAGAGCTGAAAGTCAGGCAGATGCAAACCCCATCGTCCGTGTGAGGTTCTTGGAAAGAAGCCACGATTCCGGGCAACAATAGACTCGACTTGATGTGGGGGGCTACAGCAAGGCAGTCCTGACCGAGTTCTGTCCTTCTTCCTTTCAAATCGGCCCCTAACTGCTTCTTGGAGTGGGATGGAGATTTCCTCCCTCTTGCTTTCTCCCTCTGTCTCAGCATATGTCTCTTTTTCCCCTCTCCTTCATTTATTTTGTTAATAATTCCTTATTAAAGTAACATTGCCTGATGACATTATAGGAGCTGCAGGTGTGTATCATTATAAATCAACATCTGTAGAGGCTACACTAAATTGCTATGAGGGTTACATTGGTTTTTAAACATTGTATAAATGTGGGTGGTGGTAGCACCCCTGTGGAACATTCCAGAAATGTCAACTGCACAGCAGTATACACCCCACGGTGCTCAAAATCTACCATCACATACCACCGACCCACTTTGTCCATTTCACTCCCCCTCCTGCCCACGAAACTCCTTCCACTGTGCTTCTTTAAGGGCAAAGCTTGCTACAGGGGAGTTGAAGAGGAATATTTAAATTCAGAGTCACTTTTGTTATGAACTAATGGTGGTTGCTGTTGGGGTTTTATTTGTTAGGAGCTCACGGTGTCCCGAGCCTTGATTTTGGCCCCGTGTGTGCCAGGTACCCAAGCACTGCACAATATGAACTTGCTAATCCTTGAAACATTTTGAGGTGCTGAATTGCTTTAGTTGTCCCCTTATGAGGAAACTGAGGCACCGAGAGGCTGGTGACTCGTGTTGGAGCTTTGGCTGCTCGACCTGTGGTCCCAGGTTATTTGCTCCAGCTGTGAGACACGCGGCACACAGATGCCAGCCTGGACCCACGTAGTCAGCGGTTGCATTTGAAACACGAGTGCCACACAACTCCTCTGGATGGCAGAGACTGTGAAGCAGTGGGAGACACTGGGGTTTCCACCCTCCACCCCATTGGCATCTGGGGCTGGGTCATTCTTGGTTTGCAGGGTCCTGACCTGGGGGCGGCAGCACCCCCAGCTGCCACCCTCTAGATGCAAGTAGCGCCCCTGAGTTGTGACAAGCTCAGATGACTCCAGACCTTTTCCAGGGGAGAAAAATCACCCCTGTTGGAACCCGAGCTGGTCAAAGTGTGTCTGCAGACTGGAAACATCCCTGCAGGAGCTCGTTAGAGACACACATCTGCAAACCTCAGCCCAGACTCCCCAGACTCACTGAGCTAGGATCTCTAACAATGGGTGCAGGAATCTGTTTCAACTCTCCAGGAGAAGATATATAGGCTAACATTTAAGAATCAAGAATCGTGAGACCTCAAGCTCTGAATAAGAGAAAAGTAACAGTAACTGGGCAAGCTGTGGCCGCAGCAGGAGAGGGACAGTGCCTGAGCACTGAGTGAGCCAGCCCAGGAGGCCCAGCCAGGTTCCCCCACAGGCCGTCCCCATAACCTGCGGTGAGGTAGCAACCCCTGTGCCTCAGCTTCCTCATATGTGAACCCGGGACAACCCAGGCACTTCACCTCCTCGAAACGTTTCAAGGATTTACAAGTTCATAATTTCCAGTGCTTGGGACAGCGTTGGGTGCCGAGTGCTTCATAAATGTTCACTACTATTATTATCATTACTATAATTTGCCTGACTTTACCTAGATTTTTTTTTTGTTTTTAGTTTCCTAAGAGTCGGCAGGTGCTTTATTTCCTGCCTCCTCCGCAGCTACCAGTCCAGTGCCTGCCGGGACAGGCGCTTAATGGAACATTAGTGGGGGGACAGGAGACACCTACTGAGAGTGCAGTGCTGGGAGGGGGGCCATTGCACCATCACAAATGGCTGGGATTTGTGCTCGGTTGCCTTTGTACTTTCTGCATGAGAATCCAAGCTTCCCTGATTGGTTTCTGTAAATTGGCACCCTTGCAAATGAGCTGATGTTAGTTTGGTCTCTCTGCATGGGTCAGGTTGGACCTCAGATTTAGCTGAAAGCTCTTTACAAACAATAGTCCAGTCACCGATGCTTATAAGATAATGAAAAAGCTGAAAACCAGAGAGTATTTTCTATGTGTTAGGTGAGGTACTGCATATTTTATAGCAGTTCATACTATCCTCTCTAATCCCTAATGGAATCAGTGATATAAATGTCCCCATCTTGCATAAAGAGAAACTGAGGCTACGAGAGAGGCCAGATCACCTGCTCATGGTCATAGTCTAAGGTGGTGAAGGTATTTTTTCAATGCAGGTCTGTCAGATTCCAAACCTCCATGGACCTTTCTTGCCTGGTGGTCTCCTGGTCTACCCAGAGTGGTCTTATATCCTAGGTTTTCTAGAACAATTCTCAGATTTGAGTCTGATCACATACATGTCTTTCCTTTTAAAGCTCAATGTGTGGTAATACTGAGAATTCTGCTTTATATCCCTACTAAAGATACAACAGGGAAGAAGAGAGAGATCCTTGTCCCCAGGTGAGCACACTTGTGCAGAGAAAGGACACAGGCAAAATCAGAGACTGAAAAGGACTTAATAAGCAAGTGCTAATACATTATTATAAACAACACGGCTAGATAAGACAGAGCACCTGAAAGAGGATGGTGCTAAGAATTTGCCTCTGTTGGCTGCATTGCCTGGATAGTCACTGAAGTTCTGCTGGGCGCCTGGCACTATGAGAAGTGGATACTTTGCAATGACAAGACAGTTTTGGTTTTGGGCCTCATGAAACTCACATTTGGGGGCAATTCCAATCTAGCAGACCTTGCCTGGTGCCCTGCCCATTTCTTCACACCCCAATTTAAGGGCCCACGCTATGGCTCTTTGCCTGGAGGAAAGGACAGGAGTGGCCTGGGGCCGTGACTGGCAGGAGTCAGTGGGTACATACCACAGCTCTTTTCCAGAAGGAGGGAGATCTTGGAAGCACATGATTTACATCGACCTCCAGTGTTGCCAACAGAGTTAAGCTCCGTTTGCCCATAGTAAAGGCCTAGTTAATAATAAAGACCTAGTTAATAATACACATTATTAACTTTATTAACTTTTCCACTTCCCTACCAGAATTTTCTAGGATCACACCCCAAATAAACCACAGACTCTCAAATCTTTATCTTGGATTCTGCTTCTTGAGAAATCAAAAGCAAGACACACATAGCTTTCTTTCTAGAAAGAGTTCACAACAATTCTGGACTATTGGACTATTTTAAGCCTATGGGTGTCTTGGTCTGATTGGCCTTCCCAGCTTTGGTTAAGGAGGAAAGACAAGCTGCATTGATAAGCAAAAACATCATCCAGGACATGTCACGTTGACATAATCCTAGCAAGCAATGGTGGAATCTCATGAAATTTTAAGGACAATAGGATGTTAATGCTTAATCATAATAGGTAAGACATGTTCCAGATAAGACAGAAAGGTATTCTCAGAGCAAATGATATCATTCTTTATTTGCTTCTGAAAGTCGAGGGGCTCCTGTGGGCACACAGTTTTAATGAGTCCAGGGAGGAGAGTTTGATGCACAGTTGAGGTGGCATAAAATATACCTGAGCCCAGAACTTAAAGGCTGCTCATCACCTGGTTTCGAGGCTGTTCCAGGGTCCTTACAGTCACTTAATGTCTTTCTGCGGTTAATGAAGCTGAGCAATGGATTACTAGGCTGGCGAATTGGTCTGGATTCTTCTTCAGCAGCAAAACACTATCACCAACTGCAAGTAGCCAACTCCATGGGAGAAATGTGATAACATGTTAAACAGAACAGCTCTGGTAGCCCCAACCTGCCCGCCAGCAATCATCCCCTTTAAAATATACATAATGCTTAATTGCTGTTGCAAAATTCGACACCTAGCCAAATCAAATAGATTGAAAATGGAGAACTCTACAACTGGTGGAGGATTTATTCTTAGCAACAAGCTTGCCAGGGGCCGAGCATCCCCTAAACTTTATTGTTACCCACCTTAACTGCTTTCAGAGAGCAAATTTCAACCAAGTAGAACAAGACATAGAGTCTTCTGTATTGGTTGAGCAAACCCATTCGATGGACTTGGTGTTTTCAGGATATAAATCAATGTGTTTGCATTTATCAAGAGCTAAAAGAATAAAATTCAAACTCAGTGTTGGAACCCACGGCAGACCCACGGTCCAGACCCCCTCTCTTTGGCTGGCTCTTTAAACCTGGGTTCCGACAGCTGCAGCCTTTGTGTCCTGGAGCCACAGAAGTTTCTTCCAAGCCCTGAGGTCAGGGCTTGGCCCTTGGTTGACTGCTGGGTGTCTCCCAGATCTCAGTTAAGATGTCACCTCCTCAGAGAGGCTTTCCTTGACCCTCATCCTAAAGTCAGCCCTGCCCCCAACCCCCTCATTCCCTTCCCAACACCCCTCCCCATTTTCTTCCTACCATGCTCCACAATCTATCTGTGATTTCCTCTTGTTTGATTCCCCCACCAACATGAAGCTGCACCAGGTATCCCTGGAGAAGAGAAAATAATCAGAGATTGCTTTCTGAAAGTTTATAAAAAATATAGTTACTGGGACGGGAGATATCACGAATGAGTTAAATGCCATAAGAGGAAGGCAATGAATTATATCCTCAAGGGCAAAATCGTATGGTACACTGGCTCTCAAACTTGGCTGCATATTGGAATCATCTGGGGGCTTTAAAAAGTATTGCTGGCTGGATCCCACCCCCGCAGACCGAGGTAATGAGTCTGGGTAAGACCCGGGCATTGGGAGTTTTTAAATCACCCCAGTTGATTATGAAATGCAGCAAAATTTGAGAAAACTGCTCTTTTAAATGGAAGCATTATGTATATGCACAGAATTGCACAAACAATAAGCATGCAGCCGAATTAATTTTCACAAACTGAATACACCGGAGTTACCAGCACCCAGTTAGGAACCACAAACCCCAGAAGTCTCCCACTTTCAAGGTAACCGGTGTCCTCCTAGTCGAGCATAGATTAGTTCCGCCTGCCCTAAATGCCTGTATTTGGGATCACACTCTACATTCAGTCTTTTGTTTTGAGGAGACATTTGAATCATGTGGGATCCCTCCAGGAAGACTTCCTGAAAGAGGCAGTATTTAAGAAGAGGGTCTGAGGAGGCAATAGACCAGAGAGAGGAATGGTCGGCTGCTGGGGCAGGGAGCCCAGCTCCACGGAAAGAGGCACGTGGGCTGAATAGCTGTGTCCCCATAGTTCCTGGAAGTCTTTTGGTGGGTCTAAGAGATGTTGGAAACCATCCTTCCTTACAAGCATGCTCAGCTTGGTGTTCAGTCATTCCACAGGTTCTTTTTGCGTGCTGACATAGCGCTGTCACAGAGTTGATAGAACTTACATGTTAATAGGGGAGACAGTCAACAGGCAAATACATGAAGAAGATATTTACATGGTGCGCTAGGAGGCTCCCCAAGCACTGAACCCAAGAATAGACTCCGGAGCTACTCCTGGCAAGTGATGAACTCTACGAACTTGATTCACTTGTACATCAACTTTCGCCCCAGGAGGGCTGCCATGCCTGGCACCTTATCAGAATCTCCTGGGAGCTTTTTAAATCTCAGATATTCTGACCTGCCCTGGGATCTAACACCAGTACGGCCTGTGCTTGTTTATCTGTAGGATAAAAAAAAAGAGAGAAAGGGAGAGAGGGAGGAAACCCTCCAATGATTGTGCCACTGAGCCCGGCGGAAATCAGTACGTAAGGGCTCAGGAAGAAAAGGCTGAGTCATTGCGAACTTCTCATGGCTTTAGGCATCCCAGAATCTGAATATGGCATCCAAGGGGTCCAGATTTCCTGGGGTCCTCCCATAGTGTTATTCTAAGGCAAGAGCACTTGGATGGAGTCTCCCAAAATTTCAGCCTGTGGCTTAGCAAAGTATTTGCAAATTCTAGTACGCCTCCACCCCGTTCCTCACCTGTGACCATCTCCACATCCCACCTGAACAGTTGTTTACTCTCATTGTTCCTCGAATATTTATTTTAAAAACACAAGGAGAGGTATCCAAGCTTTAGATGGCTACCCTAAGTGGGGAGCATCGCCTTTTATCACGGAAACAGTCGGTCACCTCACTGTGCATCTGATGAAAATAAACTGCTTTCTAAAAGTCTAGCTAGGTACCCCGGCCTCCCTCAAACTCTGTGCCTCAGATCTGTGGTCCCTTAGAAGAAACCGGAAGTTTGCTAGCGCTTGGCGTGCAAGACAAGGGAGCCTCAAACTGAGACTTGGGCAGATTGAAAGCAACCTGACCTTTCCACCCTTCAATTCAGTTTTTCAGTGTCATGTCTACACCACTGAGCACATCTGGGGACCATCATGTGGTGTCTCCCTCTGGGGTCACCAAAACGGCCCTTGCTGGTAACCAAGCCAAGCACCTACAATGATAGCAGCAGAACAATACAAATGAATGACAAAATGCTCTGGAAGTGTGGCCAAGAACACGTTGGTAAAAGTACAGGCAGAACCCCCCCCTTTCAGTGATAAGTCGCCCTCCTCCAATATAGAACCAGCTCTTCAGCAAGAGAAGGGAGTAGAGCAAGGGAAGAAAATTTGAAAAATCCTGGAAAGATTCTGGGAGGAATTTTGTAGCCCAGACCTAGCAGCTCCTGCTGACGACCCTGGTTCTCTCTCCAACGTGGCTCCAGCTCTGAGTTCCCTGCTTACTAAGTCACCAGGACCTTCGATGTCCCTTTAGCAGAAGCTTCCTGAAGGTGGGTATCTCCTATATGTCCCAGCATCTCCTGTGTTGGGGTGATGCTAACTGACCCGGGGGATGCGTGTTCAATGGGTGATTCATGCTAACCCCAGATCAGCTTCTACAGAACGAGGAGGCTCCATGGAGGACTTACTGGGGTCCTCTTCTTTCTGTCCAAGTCTTCGGTCTGTCCCTCCTGGTCCTATAACTGCTATGCTTTCTTATCTATGGGGCTGTGGGCTTTTACTCATAAGCTATGGTCCCTACCACGATGCGCCCTAGAGGTGAACTGGGCAGTTAGAATTCACCAGAATGGATACTGTCTTGCTGAGTTTGCCAGCAATAGGTAGGGTTTTCTCTGCCTCAGTTGCCTAAGGACTAGGCTGGGCCTGGGTGAGGCTGCTTGGGTGATTTGGGGAAGGTTAGTTAGCAACTTGCTCTGCTCCACATTCGTGAGAAGGACAATAGAGCGTTTGCCTCCCATGCGGGGCGGTTGGAAATGATTAAACAGCACTTTGCAACCCTGACAATAACATGTTGTGACTGACAAGGAGAGTGGGGAAAGTCAAGTCCAAGTGAATGGCTAAGAAAAATATTTGTGAAAAGAGTCACCCTGGGGAATTCCCCAGGTGTGAGGGCAGCGGAGGCAGGTGGGGCCTGCAGGTGGGAGGCCTGGGAGAGCCCTGGGATGAAGCCTCAACTGCACTGGGTGGGTACCTGAGGGACAGTGAGGAGGGGGCCCCCAGTGACCCCTCGGGCTCCTCAGTGACATTAATATCTAAACCTGAGTGGCTTAATAGTTAGCAATCTTAGGCGCGTCTGATTCCAACCTACACCGAAGAAGAAGAAAAGCCTCTTTAGGAGAAGTTCTCAAACTGCAGTAGGCAGGGGCTGCATTGTGGGGCCGGGATGGCTTGCTCAACATGCAGTTTCCCACGTACTCATCTCGAAGTTTCTGAGCTGGGAGGTCTCGGCAGTGGTCCTCAACCAGGGGTGATTTCGCCCCCACCCCCAGGGGACACAGAACAATGGAGGCCATTTGGTGGACAGGAATGGGGTGGAGGGTTTTACGTGGGTAGAGGTCAGAGAGGCGAGTCCACATCCTACACTGCACAGAACAGCAACGGATTATGGTCCCAAATGTCCATCGTGCTGGGCTTGGGCGTCCTCCAGGGGAAGGCCCAGGACGTACAAGGTCACGGGGCCTGGCGGGACTTGATGCGAGAAGCGGAAGCGCTGACCTGGGCCTGGTGTGTCTCAGGGCCCCCGGCCCCGGCTCCCTTTTTGCGCAACTCCTGGTCCACACTTAGGGCCAGCTTTGACCTGACACTGCCCAGGAAGCCCTGCCTGTCACCGTCCTCCCTTCCTGCTCTCCAGACTCTGCCCCTCCTACGTGCTCTCCTGGCCCAGCAGCGCCGTTGGCCTCCCTGGTGGGCTGTGGTCTCCCTGCATGGAAACAAGCCTTCCTTGAGGGCAGGGCCCAGGCCCCCCACCAGTCCTCAGGACCTCCAAAGGGCCTGTCCTGAGCGGGGCTCAGCCATCCCTCATTGGCTTGAGGGACTCTGGGCTTGAGGGGCTCCCACAGTGAACCTGGAGCGACCCCTTTCCGCCACCTTCACAGAACCTCGCTTGAACATTTTCGTGGAGTTTTTCCCTCGGAAATGATCTCGTTTGTTTGTCGCCTACTTTTCATTCACTGCACCGATATTTTATTGGGCACCTACTACATGGCTCGTCCTCTGCCGTCCCTGGCGATGCCACGGAGAACAAGAGGCAAAACCCCTCCTCCCATCATATTCTGGACGGGGAACTTGGATGATAAACAGAAACCTGCTTATCATAGGTGTGACACTGATAAGCTCAGTGGAGACGGGAGTGCATGCGTGTGCATGCGTGTGTGTGTGCGTGCATGTGCATATGTGAAATCTTAAACAAGGCAAACCTTCGGGAAAAGGTGACATGTAGGCAAACATTGGATATTAGACGTCTGGGGGCGTGGGGGCAACTTGCCTGCTCCCCCATGAGAATAAAAACACCAAGCGGGCCTGCATCTTCCTTGGCGCTCCAGCTGCAGGGTGGCAGCAGCCCAGGCACATACTAGGTGCTTCCTAAGCATCACCCCAACAAGACAAAAGGGAGACTCTGTGCTCAAACTCTCCAGAATCAGGCTGCAGCAGCTCCTCTCCATGCCCAACCACCATCAGCCAAGGGGTGGTGGCTGGAGGCGATTAAACTTAGGGTGGGAGCCGGGAGGGCACCTCGGTGGCCCCATTAGAGGGGTGGGCCTGGCTCAGGCCTCTCCCCTTCCTGCCCCAAATCAAACCTAAGTTCTCACCCCACCCCCAAGACACCCGCACCCCATATCACCGAAGCGGGGTCAGCAGCCGGGCCTGCCTCTCCGGGCCCCGCCGCAGAGTTGGCCCATCGCTCCCCGGCCCTGCGCCCCGCGCCGGCCCCCACTCTCGGGGCGCCCCCGCCCCCCGCCAGGCCGCGGGACGCTGTCCCTTTAATAGACTCGCGCTGCCGGGCGCTCTGCGGCGGGGAGTAAATTTCTCCCTGTCATCAGGTCGCGGGGAGAGAGGAGGAGGAGGAGTTTGTTAATGTTCAGTTTGCTCAGCGGGATCGATGTTTGCTGGCATCGCCTCGCCCTGCCTTGTGTGTGTGTGTGCGCGTGTGAGTGTGTGTGTGCGAGTGTGTGCATCTGTGGGGGTGTGAGTGCGCGTGAGAGGCAGCGGGGTGCGTGTGTGCGCGTGTGAGTGTGTGTCTGGGTGTGAGTGAGTGCGTGTGTGTGTGTGTGTGAGCGCGCGGATGCCAGGTTTTCTGTCTTGCCCCGACGCGCGCCTGTCCTCTCCATATCACTCACAGACGGGGATCTGACAGCAGCCACAAACCTGCCGTGAGTGATCCCGCGCCCCCTGCTCGGAGCCGCCATCGAGCCCCGCCGGGAGCAGGAGGAGGGACCCGCCGCGCCGGCCGCCACCTGCCCGGGCCCCGCGAGCGCGCGCGGAGCGTGTGCGCCCCTCGCCCGCCGCGCGCCCGGGCTTGGATGTTTAATAAAGAAATCAAGTGTCTCCACAGTCACCAAAAAAAAAAAAAAAAAACCAAAAAAAATTCCAAAAAGCAAAAACAAAAAGGGAGAGAGCGAGGAAAAAACATCCAAAACAAACAAACAAACAGGCGAGGCAGGACCGAGCTCCGCGGCCCGCGCGCCCGCGCCGCCCGCCCGCCCGCGCCCGCCGCCCCGCCGGGGGGCTCCGGCCCGCGGTGCAGGAGTTGCGGGGGGATCGCCGGGGGCACCGAGGCCGAGAGACGCCCCCGGAGCCGCCGGGCAGGAGGCGGACGACACCCGCGCAGGCGAGAGAGACCGCGGGCCGCGCGCGCGGCTCGGGGCTGGGGCGCCCGAAGTGGGACTGGAGCGGAGTAGAGGATGCCAAGGAGGAAACAGCAGGCACCCCGGCGGGCGGCAGGTAAGAGACACGCGCGCCCCGCGGCCGCCCGGCCCGGGGGCCGGGGGCGCCGAGCCCCGCGCGCGCGCCCTCCCGGCGCCCGGGCCCCCAGGACGCCACCCCCCGAGCTCCGGGGAAGTTGGCTCGGGTGCCCCGCTCTGCCCCGGGAGTAACCCCATCCCCGCCCGCGGCCGCCACCTCCCAGATCCATCCCTTTCCAGGCTCAGGTTGGGGGGGTGGGGGAAGTTATCCCACCGAGCCTTCCCTCCTTAAACTTTTTTCCTCCACCCTCTACCCCACCCCTAACTTTCTCCCAGACGATTTCTCGCCTCTCAGGCCAAAGTTGGTTGAGGATTTGGGGTGCTCGCCGGGGAAGACAGCCCAGCCACCCCCGCATCCCTGCGCGTGGCGAGGGCCGGTGGCTGCCGGCTCCGGGGACAGCGGCTCCCCTCGCCGGCTTTGGGGGCGCGGGGTGGGAGGCTCGCCCCAGCCCAGGCGGGGGACCGGCTGGGGGGCAAGAATTAGGAGTGGATCGCCACGGTGGGAGAAGCCACCCTAGGAAACCCATAGAGCTTTGAATATGTTTTCTGAAAGGATCCACTTTGGGAAATCAGATCAACTCTCTTTTTTAAAAAATAAATAAAATAAATAAAGGCTGGGGGAAAAAAAAATGCCCCCAGAACATGGAAACAGCTCTGCATTTCCTTTGCCCAGAGCAAGTTGCAAACTTTGTAAATTGATTTGTATGATAGGAACTAGCCCACCTGAATACTTACCCCCCAACTCCCCAACCCCCCCCCCAAAAAAAAAGAGAGGAACAGGTTAATGGATCAGTACAATAGACCTTCTAGAGGATTTTTTTTTTCTTTTGGGTTGCTTAATTGCTTTTTTAATAGTATGCTGGGGTTTTGTTTCTCGGAAGTGTAATATGAAAGTTCATTTTTCTCCTGCCAGACCCACCCACTGAAAAATCAGCTTTCCACTTGATTGCTAGTTTTGATTTGACATTTGATTGATCACCTGTCATCTCACTGCATTTGATCTATTCATTCTTGATATATATCAATAAATCACTCACCATGGTAACTCAGAGTGCCGGTGACGCAAGCCTTGCCCTCTAGATTCAGAGCCAGACATGCACAATTATTATCTTGTTTGCCTTTTAATGTGGGCGTTTTTATTTCTTTGTGTCCTTTGGTTGAATCAGGGCTTTATCGAAAAGCTGAAGTTTGGGGTGTGTGTGTGTATGTGTGTGTGTGTGTGTGTGTGTGTGTGTGTGTGTGTTTTCCTTTTCCCTCTCTGTCTTCACCCTGTGGCTTTCACGATCTGCACCAGTTAAGGCTGGTCTTTTGCAGACTTACCACTCTGCTCCCTTCTGTTCCAACGGGAGCGAAACATGAGGGAGAAGTTCGGGGGAACACTTTCCTCAACTTTGCAGAGCCACCCTTAGAACAAATCCGAAGTTAGTTCCCAATCTGGCAACATGGGTATTTGTGTCTGAACACGCTGGATCACCAGGCTCATCCTTCATTGTGGCCTCGTTCCAGCCGGAACGCAGTACATGGGCTTTGAAATATCCACAGTTTTCTTCCCCCAGAATGCAGAATCGCCTCGGTCACCGAGTGTAGACCGGTTCGGTTCACACTGCACGCGGAAATATCACTTAAAAGCTTTGATGTGTGCATTTTCCAATTGTTTCCCTAAGAGGAAAATAATTAAAATCTATTTAGGCCCATGTATATTTAGAACTTGCCTCGGCTGGGAGGTGTTCTTTTTCATCTCGAGGTACCTCTGGAAAACAATTCCTCCCGCCTACCCTGTCCCTTTCTACATTTAACTCATTTTTTTTTTTTTGAAACTTAGCTTGCCTTGCAATCTGACAGTGTTGGGGGTGAGCCCTGGCCTTCCAGGCTCAGGAAAAGTAAGCCCTGCTCCCACTGGTTCTGGCAGCAGAAGTTTTAGTGTAGCTAGATTATTACAGATAACGTTCTTATCGTTGTCCCGAAAGAGCACCCTGGGCAAGAGTCCAGCGAGAAGTGGTACTACCCTGAAAATTATTCTTTTTTTTTTTCCCCCCTTGTTGTTCCGGTAAAGGCCATCAACAACTAGCAGTTATTTAAATTACCAGGATGACTGGACATGTCTCCTGGAGTAAGCTCATTACAAAAAGTGCATTGCTCAGAATCGCTCTACTTTGATTATAATTATCCTCCGGTCGATGAGGAGCCAGGTGTACATACTATCGTGCTGTATCACATTATTTAAATTAGATCCTTTGCCTTTCGCTGGGCTCTATGGGTGCTGGCTCCATTATTTACTGTAGTGTGTGTGTGTGTGTGTGTGTGTGTGTGTGTGTGTGTGTGTGAAAGTTGGGCTGTACTTTCAGTTTTCTAGCCTGTGAGAATCCTAGTGTTTTTACATGTTTGTTTTCATGGCTTCTTATTTTCACTGGAAGATGTGAAAAATCCTTCTCAAAGTGAAAGGGGATGATTCATCTCATGCACACGAGGTCCCTCTCACAGTATTTGCTCAGATATTAATACAACAGATATCTTTGCAGGCCAAGCTTCTTTGCTCTGAGGTCGCAGAGCCAGGCTCTGTCTGCTGAGATGATTATTTACAAGGAAAGTTAGCCACTCTGATTCCACAGTTAATACCCAGGGCAAGGGAGAAGGTGGGATGGGAGACCATAGCCTCCTAACTTTTATCACTGCTTAAAATTAAGCATTGCACAACTGTAAGTAATTACTCCCATGGATTGATGTTGAAAGCTTGATTTCGAGCTTGATTAATGAATAATGTAAGATAGAAAAGGCCCGTGAGTGAATCAGAGCTGAGAGTCTTTCCCAAGAACTGTTTGAGGCAATTTGATTCCTTTGCATTATTAGTTTTAAGTTCCATGTTTCAAGGAATCAATTACAGAACTTTCTAATAAAGCAGGTATCCAGATAGAAGGAACAAGACGATAGCATCACTGAGGGAGCGTTGCAATCTTTATTTGTCATATTCCTCCCCCCTTGAAAGGAAGGGCTGTGAGGTAAGCAGTTCTCTTTAAGGAAACAGCCAAGTCAGAACATTTCCCTCCCAAATGTCATTCTTCCTGCCTTCTGAAGCTATGCTGTTTTACCATACTATTACTTCAGGCAAGAAAAAAGTTGAGGAAGCAGCCTCCCGCCCCCTCCCTCAGGGGTGGTGTGTGTGTGAGTGTGAGCTTGCCTCCTTGCTTGTCTATTTCACTCCCCCCTAAAACGCATGCACTTTTCCCCGAGAATCTTGCAGGATTCTGTACCAGCATTTTCTCCCTCTCCCTTTAGGGAAGAAAAGATGGCAGAGAGGTAAAATAAAGGAGTAGAGTGTTGCGATTGGTCTGTGTCTTGCAGGATGCAGAGTGGTTAAAAATGTAAAATTGTAGGCTTACTTTCCGTAAGCCCAGGCAACCTCAGAGCTCACGCACACGTCATACGTATTTTCCTTCAGCATCCTGAACTATTGTTTTAATATAATGCCAGCCAATTGTAAGAGAATGCAGAGCTGCTGGGATGACATACATGGGACTGTCTGTTCCGTGTGTAAGGGACAGGCTTCTACCCCTGCCCGCCACGAGATGACTCTTAGAAGAGGTCTGATATCCAGATCCGGAGAAAGTCTCGCAGGGAGAACAGCTCCTTCAATTTATTTTGTTTATTTAATATGGAGATGAATAATGCAGATTTTGTTTTCATGAATGTCCTTGTGTGGCAGTAAACATTAGACTATTAGCAATCATTACTTAAAAGTTGCAATTTGCACCTTAATAGCACAGGTTATTTACATGGAAGCGTAGTCAGCAGGGACAATTCTGATAGCGCAGTGAGTGGGGATGACCTGTGAGGGCTGTTCAGTCTGGAGGTGGCAGAGACAGGAGAAGGGGAAGCTCAGTCATCTCCACCCAGTCAGCAGTGGAGAGGGGGTGGGCCGCTCAGGGGGAAGTTTACCTTTCATTTACTGGCCAGTGGGACTGGATTCAGTAGAACAGGGACTGGGTAGAGTGGGGAGCCTGGCACTCTCACTTTATTCAAACAGACTTCAGAAAGAGAAGTTCACGTCTTGAACCTTTGAATCCCACACGCTGTGGACCCCTTCACTTACCCAAACCGTGTGATTTTAACAGATGAACAGAGAAAATAAACACACACACACACACACACACACACACACACACGTAACCCAAAGGGACTCAGCAACATACACTGCTGTGGCTGCTCTTGTTAATTAAGGCGGACTCCTGAAAAAGGAAGGACAGACACCCTGAAATACATCGTCTGCACAGCGTTCTGGAGGGAAATTGATCGCTTAAGTGGTCCTCCTGCACTGCCCTTCTTTCCAGATTCCCTTCTTCCACCTCTCACCTCACCCTGAAAGATCCAGATTGAATGGGACATCTCAAAAGCCCATTTGTTTTAGGCATTTATTGATTTCATTTTTAATCTGCCATATCAGGACACAATACATTAACCCTAATCAGCAGATTGCAAGTGACAAGGAGCTGTGGTGAGAGCTCGGTAGGGGAGAGGGTGCTCCAAGAAACTTCTGGACAATGGAAATTTTCTGGAGACTTGGGGAAGCCTTTTTTTGGCGGGGGTGGGGGGGGGTGGGGGGGTGCCTCCTTCCAAATTACTATGCGTGTATTTTTCTGCTGCCTTCTATTTTCCTGCTATGTGTTTCTCGGCAGTCACCTCAGTTCTGTTGCTACTGTTTGGGAAATCTCCCTCCCCAATAAATACCTCCTAGGCATCTTTAGCATCTGTCCCTGGCAGCATCTTGGCCTTTGTCACTTTCTGCAAGAGAGGCTTATGCTTTCATTTCATCCCAGCTGATTTCTCTTTCATTTGACGGAATTTCTCCAACTGGATAATACCTGGGTTGATCTATTTATCTTCCCAGTGGCTTGGGAATTGGACTCTCAACGGAGCAGGCTTTAAAGGGGACACTGGGCCTGGCATTATTTAAGGCCATTGCAATGGTGCGTTTCTGCTTACCACTGCGGCTGAGTTTAGGAAAATCAGCCAGGAAGAAAACCTAGACCCGGTTCATGTGTGCGCCGGGTCTGTAATTAGCTGACACGAGGTGCATGCCCACGGTCCAGCTTCCCTGCCATCTCTGGAGAATTTGCACCATCAATTGTACTTAGGTGTGGCATGGTCTGGGAGGACTCAGCCACTATTTCCAAGGCGATGCCTGCCTCCACCCAAGTCCCCTTCATCAAATGCAGAATTGCCTAACAAATCCTATATTAAGACCAGGCAGACACAGAGTATCATTTTCGTTTGATGCAAAGTCAGTTGGAAATACATTAAACTAACAGTTAGAGAATGTCTTGCATGGCTTCCCTGAAGCAGTGCTTTTCATTACATATTTAATTACAATCAAATTGAGCGACTTTTATAAAAAAAAGAAAGTCACCGTGGTATTAAAAGAAGCTTGGCACACAAATAATTTTATTGCTTTGCAAGTTGAGAACGCCGTGGTAGGGTTATTCGTTGGTAGAGATTTATTTTCATTTTCTAATGTTGTGATAAATACAGAATGTCTTTTCCTGTAGTCTGCATCAGGGAAATCTCATGCTTACATCTTCACAGAGCCTGCTCACCCTGGAAGGGAATTTTATATCCATTCCTCAGTCGTCTGTGACAATGTGTGCTTTTTTATTATTTTAAATTTTGTAAGTTACGGCTAAAGTTAGACATTTTCAAGTTCCTTAAGGTGACCTTTGACAGGCAGCTCTTCGATTATGAATGAGCTAAGTCATTCTGGCCACCGAAGAAATAACCTCATCTCGGGGCTTGGTTTGATTACCTGGGTATTGCAGTAAGAAAAGACACGCTGGATTTACAGACCTCTATGGGTTTTCACTGCGTTTACAATTTCTTTTATTTTTTTCCTACTAGTGACCTCTCAGTTGAAAGATGCACTCGCTGGGTCTTTTAAGAAATGATCATAAAAATGAGGGACTAAAGCTCACACATCCACTTCCGGGCTGTCTGCAAACACACAGGGATGCGCCCGCCCAGGCCCATCCGCCGTTTCATGTCTGACTCGGTGTTTCCTCTGGGTTTGGGGTCTTTCACCTCCAGCAGTGTGGCCCTGCTGTGTGGTTCCTTGTGACGGGAGCCCCCCATG